AGACAATTGGACAGCTATGGGTGACAGATCAAAGCTGCCGGAACAAGGGAAAAGCAAAGGAGTTTGCAGATCTCATAAAAGGTACAATCTTTATCGCAATTTCTATCTAAACACGAAGACGATTCTAAGTGAGAATCGAAAATTGTTTTAAATTTTCGCTACATACGTTAAGTAGATTCCCAACACCCTCTTCGTGACTGTGCCTTCTACCTCCTATAGCCTGCGTCTATTGCCAGCTGTGCAACCCCCAACATCCTCCTTTTGTGCCTTGGTGTGTTCTATGGACGTTTACTTCATGGTTGGAGTAGGGTTCATTGGTCCAATCGAGTGTGGATTTACCTTGTGAATTTGGGTTGGTGAATCTAAGCCCCGTTATTCCATCTTTGATTCTGAACATAGTTCTTGATAGGGAAGTGGTTTTCTTGCAATTTTTTGTATTTTAATTTGATTATCGTAATTTGGTTAAGAGTTAACTAACTGCATGTTTGATTATCTCTATTTGCAGGAATCATTTTAGTGAGATTTTATAAGTAATAGCCAACAAATTGGAATTCATTTATCAACAGCTTCTGTCGGGATAAATCTGATCCCTTCCCTTATTCCCGTCCACATATACAGGATGAAGTCATTACTTATATACCTGGTATTGGCCATAATTTACAAGAACATTCTCCAATCTTAGTAAAAGGGGGGAGGGTTAAGGATTTACCCGGTGTAAGATATCACATCATTCGAGGAACCCTAGATGCTGTCGCAATGCACTAGAACGCCCTTGTTGACGATCCTTTACTTCGACAGCATCTAGTGTTCCTCGAACAATGCTACCAATCTCCATACATTCATCCCGCATATTGCTGGTGGTACTTGGCTAACTATGAATAAACTATGGTGCTAGTATAGATTGAAGAGATATTATACCTAGGTGATTTCCATTTGGAAGGAGATTCAAAGCTCCTCATTAACTTTGACGCTGCTGTGTACCTTCTGCCATTCTTCTTCTCTCTCATGCACTCCCGTCTCTCTTGTCAATATCTTCTTTTTTCTTTCGTAGTATTTCTTTTTATTTTACCAATTATTCTAAAGTTTGACAAGTGCAATTTGTTGTTATACATGTATGTCACATTCGCATTTTAGTTGAAAATTAATCTAGAGTTATCTTTATTTTCAACTTAAATCTATAGTTGAGGGAAACGACGATTTTTCAATTGAATGTTCAACTTTGTTTGTTACTTTTGAACTATTTTAATATCGTACCATAACACATTCATTATCATACGGTACCTTTTTAAGATTGAAATCCAACTGTATGAACTCTAGAAAATGAGAGGATGAGATACCATAAATTGTGAGCTAAGAGATGAGAAAATAATAGAGATATTTTGACCTCTAGTTTCAAGAATCAGCCATAATTTGAACATACGGTTTTCGGTACTTATTAATATTTTAATTGATGGAAGATAGACTTTTCATTATAACAGTTATGTCTTTGGAAAATGGGCATGAATTCTGATGTACAAGACAAATTAATTCATATTTGGTTAGGAATCCTCTTTATGAGAGAGTTCTTGCTTTTCTTAAATGTTTTTATTAACACAAAATGTTGCTATCACTGTCTATTCCTAAAATCTTATTTTTAATTAACGAACACACCAAAAAAACTATAGATGCTGGCCACCAAGGATGGAATAGATAAAAATAAATAAAAAATTCAATAGCATTCAACAAAATTAATTGTTTAATCAAAACTAAATCATGTCCATTTCACATGCGACTCACATTCTTCACACTAAAAAAAATTTAATCAAGTTATCAATATCTTTTAGACTCTATCGCTATCAATTTCTGCAAATTAGGCCCGTAACTATGTATGAACTGTGGGGCTGATATAAAAGAGTTATTAAAACTAGGTGATTTCCAATTCGAAGGAGAGTCAAAGCTCCTTTTGAATGGTGTGTTTACAAATAACTATTGTTTTCAACACTTACACCTTTTCTAGAACTACCAGCTTTATTGTAAAAAGACTTGTGGATTGCAGAGATTAAGTTCAAAAAAATTAGTCCCATCCTTGTTCGTGCACATTCAAGGAGAGTAAACAACGGAAAAACATTGAGTCTCAGAAGGTGATATGTAACCCTTCATTTGATACTGTTCTACACTTCTAGAATTTATTTCCAGGAACACTTGAACTTAGGCCAATTTCTCTATCACTCTTGGTCCCAAAATGGTAGTGAGAAAAGAATTCTGGTTTGTTCCTGAATCATTACTAAGAATGCTTTTCATAACATTAACAGTCCAGTTAAACAATACTTAGAAAGAGTTAAGAGTTAGACATAATTGATAAATAGTGGAAGAACTTATTATTTTGACAATATAAACATAGAAAAATTATAGAAAGTCCTGATCATGCACCGAGTTGTAAAAAATTCTTTTAACCTAGTAAACATTTACCAAAAAATATGAAAATTTAGCAGAGAGAATAAAAATCAAAGTTGAGGTCTTGAAGGTGACGTTAGAGGCATGAAAACATTTCCCAAATATATTGAGACTGATTCCATGTTACCCTTCAACACAATTCACAAAAAACACTATAATAAATTCTACGAGCCTCTCAATGATATGAACTCAATTCTTGATGGTAAATAATACATCATGGTTTTTTTCAACTGTGATTATCCTGAAATTTGAAGTATGCTAACTTGCAGTTCGTTATTAATGTATTGCTGCCGTCTAGTATGATAATTTTCCATGAAGTAAAATGATGTGTCCAGCAAGTAAAGTATGCATAAGAAAATTGTAACGTTATTAATGTATTGCTGCCGTCTAGTACGATAATTTTCACTTAAAATCGTTAGTAAGAAAGGGATGAGTAAAATGAATTTAATCCAATGAGATGCTTGCTACTCCTTGTCGAATCCAAACATGCAAATATACATAAAATTCTCTTACCAAAATAAACTGAAAATTAACACATCATGAAAATGATATATCTATTGGGTTATGTGCCATATAGTATATTTTCCTGTCGTAAAATAATAATTTATAATAAATAAATTGTTGTTTTATTTATTGCATTGTTTATTATTGGGCATGCAAATTAAAGCGCCTATAATCACTCGATATAATATGAGTTGGGCGCTTGCGTTAAGACGTATAATGTGACGCAACTTATATTTTGATCATAAATAATTTGATCACAACAAATGTATAAGGATTGGCAACTTGTACTAGAAGGTTGTAATGTTAACCGATTCACTATTCAGCTTTGTGATTTGTCTTTATCACAGAAATAGTTAAAGGTGACACTAGTACACTTGGAGTGTATCGAACGGATCACGTGTCAAATTTAATTCTTAGCATGACCGTGGGGAGAATTAAATTCCCCTTGATCACTGTGTGTTTCATCTAAGTCCTTTTATAGGATTATGTATATATTTTCGTGATTTTAATGGTTCTTTGATTCATCAATGAGTGAGATCAATTTTATTAGTCAAATATCTCGATAAGTTGGCAACTTAAGAATGAGTGGAGTAGAGAATATGAATTCATTTCGAGAATCATCACCCTAAAAAATGGGTAGAGTGACCATTTAAGTATTTCTGTTGAACTGTTAAAATCTGAGCTCAATGTTTAGCGACGGTTAAACTTTGACATTTGTGATTAGTTCAAAGGGACCGTTGAAGAAAATAAAACTTAAGTTAGTAAGAATAATTAGAAGGGCAAAATGGTCATTTATGCTCGTACCTAATTATCGGATCTCGAACAGGGATAATATATATATATACAGTAAGTCAGAGGAAAGTATTACAGATTTATTTGCTTTTGTAATCTTATATATTCTGAGACTTAAGTCTTTTGCCTTTAGTGGAAAAAGCAAAGACTAATAATTAGATTGTGTGGTCTAGGGTCAATTAGACAGGATCTAATTGTTGGAAGTTTGATAATATATGTCCGATCAGGTCCTATGGTAGCTCCATGAAGTATTGGAACTTAATTACAATAATTATAATTGTTCTGGACTTATTTTTAATTACAATAAAGTTTTGTACGTAGTTGTGAATACTACGAATGTTGTAAACTTAATTATAATTGTAATTAACGTTCTAGGACTACACATGTAATTAAATGTGAACTAATTGAATTTGGATTTTAATTAGAATTCATATTTGAATGTGGAATTATTATTGTATAAGAACTGAAACTCTTCTATCTCTATAAATAGAGATCAGATACAACCCAGACATCCTATGGAATGAAATTGTACAACATTCATAATACATAATTTCATGGCGTTCAAATTTTGGAGAGAGAAAAATATTTTTCTTAATTTTTTCAATTGTCCAGTTCAAGAATTAGTTTCTTGATTTAGTTAAAAGAAGACGCCCACCCACCGGTGTAATCTTGACTTTGGAGAAGACCATAGAAGATTTGGAGGTTTGAAGCATCAAGTTCTTGAAATTAAAAAGCTGAAAATTCGTGATCCAAAAAGTTGGAAATTCGTGGTTTAAAATTAATTCAAGAATTGATCATAAAATTTAGGTAAAAATTCGAATTCTTTATTTTTTATATAACATGCATGTGAACATCTAGACGATCTTATTTATTGAATTAGCGAAATTTTTAATTTCTGAATAATTCCGCTTCCGCATTCCAACAATATCAAACAAGCACCGCTAAATAACATCAAGGCTAAATTGTTTCCCGAAGGTAAGTATGTAATTGTTTCATGCCGAAGGAGCTATGAACTAAAGGTAACTAAATTGAGATAAAAAGATAAGTTTGAAACAATGTGAAAAATCCACTTATAGCACTGAGCACCTAACTTAAACTTAAAAATATGGGTGCTTGAATAATAAATTTTAGATCTGCCTCTTTTTAATAGCCCAAAATCTTTGAATTTTTTTTGTAGTTTTTCTTTTGCTAAACAACTTTTATGCTTATATTTGTGCATGCAACAGAGGGACTGAGAAAGACATAGAGGGTCTGTTGTTGTAATTTACTTTTCAATCTCGTGCTTCATATATGAGACCATCAATGAGGAGTTCTACTGGTAACAAATACATCTCCTACAGAAAATGGAAGATTTGGTGTTTAATGCATCCTAAATGAATTGAATCATAATATTGGTGATAGCTAAAACAATTAGGATAATAAATACAATTTATATCCTTATTCAGGGGCGGACCCAGAGACTTCGGACTGTGGAGTCAAAAATGAAATTTTTTTCGAACAACATATCATTAACAAAAATAAATTCATATGCTACTACAATTGTAGCCTATGCGTTTTCATACTTTGAAAACGTCGTATAATTACATCGTTATCAATATTGTCAAGTACATCACTTTCAATATATGCAACCAAACTATCACTTAACCATTGATCTCCCATTCGATTACGTAGTCGATTCTTGACAATCTTCATTGCAGAAAATACTCTTTCTACCGTAGCAGTTGCAACTGGAAGAATTAACGCCAATGTTACAAGCCTGTAAACTAATGGATACACCTCATGTTTTTTCGTCACAACCAAGGTTTCTGCAAGATCATTAAGGCCTTGTAACCCTTCAAAATCTTTGTGAGAGCGCATATCAATAATATACGTCTGAATTTGCTCTTCAAATGCCAAGATCTCTATTGGTTTAAAATCTTTGGGATAATACTCACACAATTGAATTAACTTATCCTTGTTGAAAGCAGAGAATGAATTATTCGGACACAAGCATGCAACACAAAGGAGTAAGTCACTATTTACCTCAGAGAAACGATCATTCAACTCTTGAATTTGCATATCAATGATAGCATAGAAGAAATCCACACGAAAATGATGTAGATTTGTAATTTCTTGAGTGTTACGCCGTGAACGGCCTAGAGGTATAAACATATCATCCATATTGGGAACATCAATATTGTATCTTTCGCAGAAGCAGGAAACTGTTCTTAAAAATGATTCCCATTCATTGTCCCTCATTGCTTGAAGTCGTTCTTTACTTATTTTCACTAATTTCATAGCGTTGACAATATCTTGATCTCTTCTTTGTAATGATTTTGACAATTCATCTGAAATACCCAATACCTTTTTCATGAGATGCAAACTGAATACAAAATCAAATGTCAACATAGATCCCAACAAAATACGTGCTTCCCCTCGCTTTCCACAACTAGTATCATCAGTGGCAATCATCTCGACGACATCAACTGTAGCAGAAAACATGATAATCAAGTTAAGTAAAGAATTATAGTGAGAGCCCCAACGAGTATCACCAGGTCGCTTAAGAGTAGTTTCTTGATTAAAGCCCTTTCCACTTGAGATTTCACCAAGATTTAATGATTCAACAACTTCAAGCCTCTTCTTCTCTCGAAGAAGATCACACCGCTTAGCCAATCCACCAACAACATTTACCACTTTATTCACTAAAGTAAAGAATGTTTCAATTTCTGCATGCTTGCTTGCCACAGCTACAAGAGCTAATTGTAGTTGATAAGCAAAACAGTGTATATAAAAAGCACTTGGATTCTCTTTCAAAATAAGTGCTTTAAGACCATTGTACTCACCTCGCATGTTGCTTGCCCCGTCATAACCTTGACCTCTTAAACTAGATATACTTAAGTTAAATCGAGAGAATAAGTTATCAATAGAATCCTTAAGTGAAAGAGCTGTGGTACTAGAGACATGTTCTACTCCAATAAAACGTTCTGTTACTTGTCCTTTCTGATTCACATAACGTAGAACAACGGACATTTGCTCCTTCACTGATACATCACAAGATTCATCAACAAGAATGGAAAATAACCTATCACCAATATCCCTCATAAAAACATCAAGTGTTTCAAATGCAATAGCACTCACAATGTCCTTTTGAATTTTAGGTGATGTTAACTGAAGGTTTTCGGGAGCATTACTCAAACAAACATCCTTAATCTCTTTATTATGATCACATAACCACTGCAAAAATTCAAGAAAATTTCCTTGATTTCTTGAATTTTCTGATTCATCATGTCCACGAAACGAAAGCCCTTGTCGTAGAAGCAATCGAACACAATCAATTGACGCATTCAAATGAATTCGATACTCATCTTTTGTTTTGTTCGACTTCTTAAAGAGAACACAATCAATATTTTGTTTCTGATTCACAAAAGCCTCGTACTTAATCCGAGCTCGATTGTGCGCACTACCACTTTTCCCGACATGAATTTGAAGCCTTTCTTTCTTTTTCCAATTTGAGAATCCTCCATCAATAAAAGAATCACCACCACCATGTTCTTCACTATTTGGTTTGAAAAGATAACAATAAAAGCAAAATATGGCATCTTTTGCTATACTGTATTCCAACCAATCAGGAAAGTCATTAAACCATGAAGTTTTAAATCGTCTTAACGACGAATCTCCAAATTCTTTCTGTGGACACAAGTGATTTCGAGACTGACATGGACCCTTTTGTACGTATGCTCTTCGAATTTCAACCTGAACATTAACATTGTAATTCGCAATTGGAGTTCTTAATCCAGGATCCGAAGGTAATTCTGCTAAATCAATTTTATCCCAAACATCTCTTTGACTCCCGGTATTTGATTCTATTTCTTCTTGGACAACTTGTTTTTTTTTTTGAACACTCGTTTCAGAATTAATTTGCTCTCCACTTGAACATTCGAATTTTCGTTTAAAATATTTCTCCATGACTGTTAAAAAAAATAAATTCAACACAGAATCACATATCAATAAATAAATAACATATATCAGTTTTCATCAAAGCATAACACTAAATTGATAATAAACAACAATTAATTGAATTCCATAAACAATTATAAATCCCCAAATTAGAGAAAGTCAGCCATTACTTACTTGGAATTGGAATTGGAATTGAGGTCTAACTTCTAAATTCCAGCCTCCAGCCTCCAGGAACTTCCAGCAGCAGCAGTGAGCTACTGAGCTCAGTTACCTCAGTACATAGTAGTCACTGCAGTGAAATCAATTCCATTGTAAATGATTTTTCCCAAATTGTAAAAAATCAATTCCATTATCCATACCATACGGTGACAGGTGACTTACGGTCCATGACTCCATTCCATACTTTCATACAATCATACGGTATTACGGTTCACACCAAAATGACCAAATCAGTGACTGTGAGTGTGACTGTGTGAGTCGGTGACAATGAATCAGAGATTCAGAATAATGAAGATTTCATTTAATGTGTTCATCCAATCATCCAATTTCATTTAATATGTTCATCCAAACGGACCAAACCGGCAAACCCTACAAAATTAACTTACCGACCGAAAGCCGAAAGTGGAAGTGCTGACTGCAGAAATCGGTGGAAATTGGAAAAGGAACGCTTCGCCCTTCACGCCTGCCGCCTGCGCCGCTGCTATTTGGGGACTGCACTGGTCGCTGGGGAGTGGGGAGAGTGAGCTGGGAGACGGGTTACCGAACACAGCCAGAGACAGGGGAGACGGGGTGGAGTGGAATCAGTGGATAATGGATTGGGCTTACACTCTTAAGTCTTACCGTCTTGGTCTCTTGGACTCAGTTTTACCTCTTAGAAATTGGATTGGATTTACATTGCGCTAATGGGCTGGTGCTTATTTATTTAATTGATTGATTCAATTGGATTTGGAACCCCAAACCCAACCTTTTCTTTCAGGAGCAGAAACGCAAAAAAAAAAAAAAATGGAAAAAAAATGTGGGGTCATTTGACCCCATGTGGGTCCGCCCCTGGACCCGTGGTTGAGATGTTACACGTTGAAGATGGAATTACAGGCAGGAAAATTAAGGAAATGGAAATCAACACAGACCAGAATGAGAGCCATTTTTGCTCTTCTTTGTTGAGTTTTTTGCTTATCTTTAGCATTTTTGTTGAGTGATAAAGGAATCATATGACCCTCTTTATATAGGAATTAGATCAAAAGAAAGAATTTAAGCTAAGCGCCATTACTCATGAAATTTATTGTTCTTTCTTTTTTCTGGTTAAGAAGATCAAAAGAGTCTGTTCTATTTTACTTTGGTTTCATAACATTAATTTTTTACTGTTCCATTAAACAAAACTCAAGACTCAACAGAAGTATGCAGCTCCATCAAATCTATGTGCATATTTTTAGGTTGATGCTTCTAAGGATTTGGTTCGCACGGTTAGTTTGGCGCTCCCAAGTGGCAAAGTGCGGAACCAACTAGTTGGCTACGAGCATGAGCCAAAATTTTGCTCCAATTGCAAGATGTTTGGGCACAAAAATGAGTTACGCACCGGCACAAATCTGCCTGTCAATTATGCAAAGAATGAGGCAGGAAATAAGAGTAAACAAGCAGCTGAAAATGAAGAAGTTTCAATGCCACAAGCCAGCAGCCGGCAATAACAGGTTGCATCAAACTGGGACAGTCCGGGCTAACCATGCTGGGAATTCTGATCAGGCAACTACCAGCCAGCTTGATGAGAGCAGTGTAGGTGATGAGAATAATGTGCAGATGGATCCTGTTAGTGAGTCTGGGCAAGGAGAACCTAATGATCAAATGCAGAAGGCTGCAACCGAGGATGTGGCCCTTTCATTGAGGTTGGCAAAAGAGTAAAGCTTTGAATGTGGCTAAGGCACCAGTGGCAAAACGAATTACACTACAACCTATCGCAAAGGATAAAGTGCACAATAAGAAGTCAGGGACAGGTATCGATTCACCTAACTTGCAAGGAAATGCAGAAAAAAAAGGGGTACTACTGAGATTTAAACCTACAGTTTTCGGTACTTATTAAAGTTTTAATTGTGTTTGTATTAAAATTTTTGGTACTTATAGTTTTAATTTGTGGAAATGTGCATAAATTCTGATTAAAAATAGAAATTAATTCGCGTTTGGATAGAAATCTTCTTGTTAGACAGTTCCTGAAATTAATAAATGCTTTTATTAACAGAAAAAAATGTTGCTTTCACTTTCTATTCCAGAAATCATATTTTCAATTAATGAACACACGAAAAACTATAGATGCTAGCCACCAAGGATGGAATAGAGAAATAAAAAAATCAATAGCATTCGACAAAATTAACTTCTTAATAAAAACTAAATCATGTCCATTTCACGTGCCATTTATGTGCTTTACACTATAAAATTTTAAATCCAGTTATCAAGAAATTTTATATTATATCGCTTTCAATTTCCATAAATTTGGCCCATATATTGATGATGTACTTAAATGTTAGCTATGGGGCTGGTATGATAGAGTTATTGAATCTAGGCGATTTCCATTTCGACAGAGATTCAAAGCTCCTTTTTAATGGTGTGTCTACAAACATGATATTGTTTTCAACAACTACACATTTTCTTGAACTGCCAGTTTTATTACAAAGTGACTTTTCGATTACAAAGATTAAGTTGTCACAAAATTAGTTCTATCCTTGTTCATGCACATACAAGGAGAGCAAACAACAGAAAAATGACGATATGGTAACCCCACATTTGACACTGTTCTACACTTCTATAATTTATTTCCTGGAACATTAGAACTTCTATTACAATTGGTCCCAAAATGTTCGGGAGAAAAGAATTGTGGTATGTTCGTAGAATGTTCAAAAAGGATTCCAGAAGCATCTTTAAAAAATTCGATCAAATCATTCGCTCCAGTAGTAATTTGACATCCATAACAGCACTCTGTTCTTTCATCTTGTTCATAACCTCACCGCTAATCTTTTTCTCTCTCATGCGCTCCAGTCTCTGCTGTCAATGTCTCCCTTTCCTTATTCATGTGTCTTTTAATCCTACTAATTTTCATAAAGTTTAAAAAATGCAATTGGTTGTTATATATGTACTTCGCTTTTTATTGAAAATTAATTTAGAGCTATCTATATTATCAACTCAAATGGTATTTGAGGGAAACAATGGTTTCTCAATCTAGTGCTCAACTTTATTTTTGAACTATTTCAAGTCTTACCATAACACATCCATTACGATACGATACATTTTTAAGATTGAAATCCAATTGCATGAACTGAAGAAAATGAGAGGACGAGATACCATAAATTGTGAGCTAAGAGATGAGAAAATAATAGAATTTTTTAACCCCTAGTTTCAAGGATCAGCCATGATCTTATCTCACCAGTCTGCAAATGAAATCTTCGCCTTGAGAGGCTCAGCTGTGACTCAATCCTGATCGGAAGACCCAGCAGGACTAATGTGAATATTAGTTTACTCGTGGGTTGTTTCTTAGTTTTCCAAATTTTAATTTTTTTAACGAGCTCTGCCCTAGTTGTAAAGTTCCAAAAAATAAATAATTCATAGAATGAATTATTTTATATGCTATATTTTAATTTTGGAAAGTTGGAAGACTAAAGTTATATAGGTATTAATTAAATTTTATTTGAGCCAAATATTTAGATTTTGGTAGAGTGAAAATAAATATATCAATAGCTCATTGAATAGCTCGCATTTAATAATGTATATTAGACTTGAGAAAAAGCCAATTCGGTTAAGTTAGCTCCAAAATATCACAATTTGAAGTTGTTAAAAACGAGTTTCTCATTTCAATTAAAACTTTGGATGCAAATGGGTTTGTGCCACGTGTATGAAAATATTTTATTCTTGATTTTGGGCTGTGTGGATTAGTTGACACCTGTTGGGTTGTTGGGGGGTAAAGTGTTTTTTTTTTTTTATTTATTTATATATATATTTTTTGATTTGGGATAATGATTGTAGTACTTTTGGTATTGTGAAATATGACATTTGTGGTTTAATTTTACCATAAATTCATCTTCCTTTTTACCTTTAAATACCGTATAGGAGGTTTTATTATTTGCACAACAGAAACATATAGATACGCATACATACGGCATATAAGTAGAAAATAAAGATTTGGAACGTGATTTTGGTATTGCCTTTCAGATTTATTTCATCTAACGAGATAGGATTACAAGATGCAATTGTTTTAATTCCGTTTAAATTAGATTTTTCATGTTGTTGAATTACTATACTTATGAAAGCTAAACATATGATACGATATGTATGATATGGTCATATGATACCAATGATATGGTATGTATTGAGGTCTTATCGATCCCTACGGATCTAATGAAAGTATGATATTTTGACGCATGATTTAAATATTTATATTCGGGATTGCTCCATTATTTTCGTGTCCTATTGAAAATTTCCATGTATTCACAATTTTCCCCGCTCCTCATATATTAGAACTGGTTGTTGGTTGGCGAGCGATGTGGAGCAATCGTGGTGCTAGGGTTTATGGAACTCAATAGATTAAATTCGGTGTAATGTGACAGTGGATTTTATTTTCAGCATTTGTTTTAATTTTATTATTATGTGGATATGTGATTTAGGATTTGGAACACGGTTTATTTGGTTATGATTTTCATTTTTTTTTTATTTTTATTGGTGGAACTAAAAAAATATCATGTTGGGATGCTTGATAGGTTTATTTAATTAAGGAATGAAACTTTTAGCAATGATTAAACTAGTTTTGTAATCTTTTAGTTGAAGAAATGAATTTTCGACGAGTTTTGTTCTATAAACACATAAAACAGGACATTCCATCATTGTGTTTGACAAGTGCTTGGCGCACGTGTCCTTGTCGGATATGCATTGGACATGGCCACTCTGGCTCAGATGGCATATTGGTGCTTACTGATTATGTTATCAAAAAAATAGGATTGTGACGATCAAGGCATATGCATAGAGTCAACAATCAAATTGCCCATCAAGGATTCGATATGTGGAAATATAGTGGGTATAAGTTTATGAAATATGAAACCAAAATCAAACCAAAACTAACATGTAGCCATAATGAAATCATGGCCAAAAGAAAGTTAAATAATTGGAACCGCAACTCAAAATTTAGCCTAAAAGTTACATTCTCCAATCTTCTTGGCAAGTACACAAATAAGTTATATGGGTACTGTAAAAATGTGTTCCTCAATATATTTAGAATGTGGTTGTTTCTTGATGTCCTTTTCTTCTCTTCTTGCTTGGTTGTAATTGATTGAAATTTAAAAACATGGTTTTCAGTATTCATTAAAAACTTTATTGATGGAAGATAGAGTTTTGATTTTAACAGTTATGTCTCATGGAAATGGGTG